AACGTATATTTAAATATTTTTAAATATGTTAACTGTAAATACCAGACTGGAAAATTTTACCGTTACAATACTTCTTTTATTTACTATACCACGCACATAATGATGACATTTTGTATGCACACATTTTATTAATAACAAAACCACTCTCATATTATCATGTATTTTCACATTTTACTTCGCCTCAACCTTCAACAAAAAAATTATTTAAATTAACTTGAAAAAAAAAGGATGAAATTAAGTTAAAGTTATTTATTCAAATTGAAATGCATGATGAAAAGCAAATTACGTTGATATAATACTAAATAAAATAAATAATTTTTAAATGCCTGGAGATGGACTTGCACATGTGTCCATGATTGTTACATCAGACGTACGTTTTTTAAAGAAATGTGTGTTTCAAAGTGCATAGTCAGATACACCCACTACTCAAAGTTACGTGGGTAATGCAACGTTGTAAAATATCTAAGGCAATATATCACTCGGTGCGATATCACCATGGAGAGATACCATAGTATTTTCCTCAGATGCCTGGCGTTAGCAAACTGCAGCATATCCATGTGACATTGTAAGTAGTAGACAGCGTATATTTCTTTACTTTTCTTATTACATTGTCTTTCATAAGACGTTCCAACTATCCATATCGTTCTCTCAAGTGTATTACATAAGCATAACCGCCCACATTTTGTCGGAAAGAATTAAGAAATTTAATCGAAAATTAGTGTTATTTGTATTTGATTTATTCCATCAACGTGCTAAAATTCCAATTACTCCGGAATTTATAATTTATTTACAAGCTATTCTTCAAGATGATGCTTCACAATATGCCTCATGTTTAGACCAATCTTATCGAATTTAATGAAATTTCTCTTGTTACATTATCGTAGAAGAGATAAATAAACCTTCATCATTGGATCTTTTTATACTAGTAGGACACACCACAAGATGACTTCCTCCACACTTCTGGCTCTTTTTATCCAATGTATTAGCGAACAACATTTACCTGGTCCTCATTATTTTCCTGTTTTGTTCTATTAACATACCTAGCAGTAAATCACGTTCGACATGTTTCAGTATAAAAGAAAAAATGTATTCCCAGTAATTTGGCTGTAGTTGGTGGAAATCCAAAATAATCTAAAATCTAGAGTTGAGAGAACAGCAGTCGGTGAGAAAATAGCATTGGTGCAGTGGGTGGAGAATATTGGTTGTCTTGAGAGTTAAAGTCAGATGGAGGGAAAGGGCAGGGGCGTTCCACAGCACCCCGTATGGGGTAGGTTGCAGCTCACGCGACACTAGAGTCATCTATATCCTCAAAGATTTATGGGTTCTGGTTGCAGCGGCTGTTCGTAGCACAACATGCCACAGTTTGGTGGTGTCGGTGTCCATGATGTCGTGAGTGTGTATCAGTTTATTCCGTGTACACGTGTATATATGCCAATGCTTTTAATGTCTTTGTGGTAGTGACACTGATGCTATGCCTCCTGCAGTGGTAGTGGTACTCCCTGTCGCGATGGCACACTGTTACCCCGCAGGGGTTACGCGCAATTCGCGCTCATGCACCAAGCACTGATAAAAAGTTACTCGGTTCCAATCCGATTCTTTGGGTGTCGGCGAGAGTCTCTCTCTCTACATGGCCTCGCTTATCTTCGTAGACCCTCCTCGACGACTCCTCTTGTCCCTTTATATTCTATCTTTTATATCTTTTATGCGTAGATGGAAGATATTTTTGGGATCGTTGACAGTACAATCTAGAAAAAATTCTTACTCAAATACAGCATCTGCCCATTATTTTTATAAATAAATACAGCGACAAATATTTTTTAAAATCATGGTTGATTATTTTAATCCATTTGCAATCTAATTATTTATTTATTTTTTACTCCAAAACACAATTTAAGACTGGTTCGAATATTTACTGTTAACAATTTTCCTTTGAAACATAAATAAAAAATAATCGTTATATTTTTCTAATATTCAAAAGAAAAATTTTTGTTAAAACAAAAAATTAATTACTTTCATCAAAAATATACTTTAAATTGTAATAAAATTATTATTATTTTCTTAAAAAATTAACTTTTCTTTCAGTTCCTCAACAAAAAAATGATAATTTCCACGAATTTAATTATTAAAAAAGTGAATAAATAAGACATAAACAATTTCTTGTATTTTCATTTTAAATATATCTATCCCAGAGGCAAGAAATTTTGTACATAATTAAATATTACAATAAAAAAAAAAGCCAACAGAAATGTTGCTAGTTCAGGTTTTGAGACTATATATGCCATGATGCAGCCATCCATTCACACTGACTATAATATGCTGGTAGAAATAACATGGAAGAGAAGGATAGAGTATCCATGGGGGTCTGTGGGACACTGTAGAAGAGCATCCACCAACTCTACCTATGCTCCACCACTCCGACTCTCTTGTCTCGTCCCACTCCACTGATGTGGCCGGTTTACGAGCAACCTGTGGTAACGAGAGCGATAGATAATAACGCTTCATGCTCAACCCCTTCTCTTGCACATATACACTTACATTCGCACCCTCTTTCCCCAGCATTTTGCTTAACTGTAACATTCGCACATAGGGACATTAAAATCTCGCTTAAACTTTTCACTGCATCATTGAACGGTTTACGTCTCTATATCTCTTTTTTCCCTTGTTTTTCTTCATTCATATTAAACTCACCTAAACCATTATTTATGACTTTGTTTATTTTTTTTTATCGATTAAAAATACACCAAAGACAATAATAGATTTGCAATAAATATAAAATAAATAATAAATGTTTTATTCATTTAAAATATGATGGAATTATCTATTTATGTCAATTCCGAGTGTTTGTTTTTATTAAAACGGTAAAAGAATTTTTTAGTGTAACAAATATAAAATGTCGTTAGAGTTTCAAGGCGCACGCGCAACTGTCTTGCCAGAGGAATTTATTGCGGCTTAAAAAGTCTAGCTCCCTTAAAATCCTGATAAATGTGCGAAGGAACGAGACTCGTACGAAAGTACAGGAGGTTCGTAGCGAGAAAGAAAATGCGATGGAGAAGCTGACTGTAGAAAAGCATGCTATTGAGAAAGAGACGCTACGGAAAGTAGCTCTAGGCTGAAAAGCAAATTCTCTTGCGACTTATACGAGAGTTGAAACAAATGAAAACGCTCAGACAGCTTGTGCAAATATGCCATTAGCAATATGCTCTATATAAGAGCTTGAGTATTTGGTATATACAAAAGATACGTCCTACACTATATAAGCAACCAAGCTGTATTAAAGACGTACAAAACTTGTAAGCTTTTGCACACTACATTTCGTCCTTTGACTAATGTCTATGTTTGACCAAATACTTTACTAGAAAATATATGGCGCCTTACATTGCAAATAAAATCCAATTGAGCCGTGCGCGCGATTCTCTCCTTCTTCCCACTAGTAAAAAATGAATCAAAGAAATTTTGTATTTCTTTACGCCATTTGTTTTCTCTTGACTTTATCTCTGCTTTATTTGTCTTTAAGTCCGTGCTCGACATATATTTTCTGACATTTTCTGGGTCGTGGAATGAAAATAGAGAAGCAGACTAATGGAGCTGAGCAGGATATAAACCCATGCGAAAAAAAGAATGGCGCGACGAAAAAAGAAAGAGAATTGTGAGATAGACGAAGAAGAAAGAGATCACGTAGATCGAGCGGTTGGCGCGAGTTGGTGGCCAGTAGAATCAACCGGGTTTGCCAAAAGACTTCGGAATCTTTCTCTTTCTTCTTTCGCTTTTCGTACTCACTCAAGAGCCTCCGAACGATCTCTCCACTTATTCTTCTGTATATACTTCATCTGTGTGTCCCACGCGACTAAAAGATCCCAGGATAAACAACTTTTTCGCGTTTCTCTCGCGAAATGAGTAATGATATTTCCACTTTTTGGATTATATTTGGTTACCATTCATTTACCCTGACATATTATGTGAGACGTATATAGTTTATTATATCGCAGAAAGAAAAAACTCATTTTTCTTCGTGAATTTAACGTAATTACTCTTTTGATGATGTTAAACTGAGAAAAGCAACCAAAATATAACAATAATGGCGTGAAAAATGGTTATAGTCTTTCGTATGTGACACATTAAAAAATTATAATTGTATATCTTTAGTGGCTTTTAAATAGTCAACAATTTATCATGAAGGAATAAGTATAAGGAGTTTATTATCGAGAAGGTTGAATGAAGAATGATAAAATTCTAGATATAAATAATTATTTCAATTTGCCACCATTCAAAGCATATTTAAAAATTATTAGTTTGTTATCAACCATTCTTATAATTACTAAACTTCTACTTTTTTTCCAAACTTATTAGGTGTTATTATAATAAATCACTTGGTAAACAATAATTGCGACTATTAAAGAGACAAGAATCTATTTAAATATCATGAATTTTCTTTAGGTAAAAAATATTATTCATTGATAAATAATAATTATAACAATAAACTATATAGTTAACGTTAAAATATTAATTACTTTGAATGTATTTGTTATATTATTTTTCTAAAAAAACAATTTTGTAAAAAGAGTGCAAATAAAAATTTAACACTAAGCTATATTTATGAGAATCGATAAAAGAGAAATGGAACTAGATGTTTGACTTGACGATGACACATGATCGAATAAGTCCCGTCAAAGACCTTTCAATAAATTAAATAACTTTTTTTCTTTGATTCTATAGATTTATTAGCAAAGTTCAATGCTTTATGCTCAAAGCTTTCCACTTGAAAAAAAATGATAAGTCATTTTCTTTCGTTCTTGAAGCTTTTTACACAATAACTATTTGAAAGATAGTTGAATTTTTCGATTCAAATCAATCACAAAAAATTTTTACTCAATTCCAAACTTGGAAATAATTATTTTATTAAAAATTACTATGCAAAAAAAAGGATAAAGAATGAATGAATTGTTGATAAAATGATCAAAGTCAACATGAATTCTAATGTATTGTGAAATTTTATGTTACAGGTGAGTGGCAGGCTGCTCCAACCGTTTTATAATGCCAAATAGGTGTCGATGTGCCGCTCCAATCCGTCGAAAGTCAGTTTATCGGTTGCGGCGTAAGGATGCTGCACCCGGTGAGTGACGATGAACCTCTCGGAGTCTCCTGTAGTGAACTTATGACGCAATCTCATTTACTGAACAAGTTAATTAACAATTAAAATACCCCACAGACCAAACAGCCATGCCCGAGAACGAAACATGTTTGTATATGTCAACTAGAATCACACCAGTAGGTTTTGGGACTTATCTCTATTTCTAGTACTATTAGGTTATTAATTTATTTTTTACTGTCTATAGTGAATAGTGCATCGGCATCCGTAGTTTTAATCTTTATAGTCGTCAATTAATTTACATGAATGAATCATCTGTTTCGGGAATCGTGCAACGAAATTCGAGCGGGCGGAGTGATATAAGTTTTAAATTTATTATTAAAGAACGTGAGAGTACGTGTCGGTCGTGTTACAAAAAATATACGTAATTATGTAATAAGTGAATATATAAATAATTGAGAGTTGAAGTCTCTGATGATAATAAAGTGCGAAATACGTAAATAAAAATTATAAGTAGAGCATTTCGTAATTATAAATATTTAGAATTTAGTAATATTATTTAGAGAGCAATTGAAAATAGCGCATGAATTTTATTCTTAGACGTGAGGATTAAATCCTAGTAAATATTATATGTTTATAAATTGTAGAACATCGGTGTACAAAGTTTTATCAAGATATTTAAGTTTTTTTTATTAGTTATTTTATTAATTATTCTTGTAATTATTGATTATTTGCTGAAAAGCAATTAAAAAAAAATTTGTTTAAATTTTTTTAATTACGGGCAATGTGTTCACTATTGAGCCCGAATATGAGTACTGCTCTTGTTATTTTTTTGTTATATTTTTTTATTGTCCGCGATATGAGTCGATAACGAGTCTTGATCAATTTTTTTAAATTATTATTCTTAGACCATTTCAATGGGATTAGTTTACTTTTTAACAATTATTTACGTACTTGTATATTGATATAAAATTGATAGCTCGTTTAATTCGACCATATTTATTTCAAAAAAATAAAAAAAAATTATTTATAAACGTTTTTGAGTGAAGTATGACGTGCGATAAATAGAAAAATTATTGGGATTACGGAAAAATGTGAAAAAGCTACGTAAACGTACCTACTTAGTACCTCTGCGCCTGTTCGAAAGAAAAATAAATGTACAGTCACTGAGAGGAATGTGGCGATACTTTTAGTAATGTTATTCTAATGAACAATTGTATACGAGTAGCTATTACTATAAGTGACACTACCAGCGAACGGTGGTTCAAGACAAAAAAAAATCATAAAAACTGAACATAAAAATAAAAATGCAGTATTTTTAAGCGGACTGTAATTTTAGTGATTATTTATTTTTGGAGCGTCAGAAGCGTTCTCTAATCACTTAACTTGTTCTACACAATTATTAGAAGAAAAAAATTAGATTAACTGATTAATTGAAAGGAAAAACATTTAAATAAAAAAAAAAATGCGGGTGTTGACGATTCAATCGTGATTGTGTTATATTGTGTGAATATTACACGTACAAAATTTGTCATTATCGTTTATCTTTTTGTAACATATTGAAGTATGAATTATTTACCGAACTCGATTCCGATATGTATGTATTAAAAATGACCAGAGCTACATCTGCCTTCTATGACACATATAATAGAAATGGGCAATTTGAATAAAGGCGGTTGTGGTGCTGGATGTTATTGTACTGTTACGCTGATTATACAATTGCTGAAAAAAAGTGAAACAAAATAAAGAAGAATTTCGATTTAAAAAATCGCTTGTTGACTCGTATTCATCATTTTTCGTGGCCATGGCTTACGATAGTCTTTCCTATATCCTTTAATTTGTTCTCCTTTCTACTCATCCTACAATTAATTTATTTTTGTCATAAGTACATATGTTAAGTAGTAATATTTAATTTAATTCAATTTTGTAAATAAAACGAAAGAAAAATAATTAAACTCATTACTTATACATTTTATTACGTAATGAAATTGGTGCTTTATTTTATGTATCGAAAATTATAGAAAAGAAAAATTGCTGAATGTTTTAAAAATTTTATTTTGTTAATATATTATTTATTAGTGTATTATTTTAATTAGGATGGAAAAACAATAATTATAATTAAGTTATTATAATTTGTTTATTGTAAATTTTACAAGATTCAAGTTATGTACATTTTTAATTATTAAGAATTGATTATCTATACATTTTTCTTATGCAAAAAATATATAAATATTTTTTTTTAATTACGACTGATTTATTTTCCTTGAATCCAGTAGTAGTATTATTAGAATACACCGGTATAATCATTTATACAGCCTAATAAATTAATAGAAAATTATTGCAATAATCAATTCAAATAAATTATTCAAGAACTCGAAAGAATTCTTACAAGATAATTCATCATAATTAAAGTTTCTAAATTCACACGAAAATATTACCTAAGTAACATCAAATCTAAATACACAAATCAGGTTGATTTATTGGACGATGCGAAAATTTGGACCAACAAATTTGAAATAATATTTTTTACATGCTAATATTTGTATTTTTAGAAATTTCTCATTACCTACATATTCATTGTTTGATTAATGGATTAGTAGAAATTATTTAAAGCAGCAAATAACATTTATCATCAATAATTTGCATTAATTCAACAATAAATTGAATTATTAAATGGTTTTTGTTAATACTACATTGTATAACTTTAGCAAACACACCTATATCTATCAAATTTTTCAGATTTAATTGAATTTCAAACAACTACATTCAAATGGTGGATTTTTTAATCGAATTTTTTTAGTCAATAACTTTAAAAACTAGCCCTAACAAAAATATAAAAAATGACTGAAACATTTTTTGTCGTTGTTATCAATTTTAAAGTCGTCGACACGAAATCCGTGGCAAAGTTATTTTACGATGCTTAAAATCATATTGGAATTGAAGCGATAAAACTCCGCCCTCGAATAACAACAATTTTCGTCCAAGTCACATAAAGGTTGAAAATGTTCGTTAAATCCAGGGTCGAGGTTGTCAGTCTTTTCGATAATTCTCTTCTATAATATTAATATGTTATTGCAGAAAGATATCCTCATGAAAGTCGACAAGGACTAGAAAAATATATATCCCAAGTATCTTTAGTTGAGGAAAACAAGACAAAAAAAGTCAGTAAAATAGAATGACCATGTTTCCAAACGTGGTTATTGTAACTGTATATGTATGGCACTAACTATGGATACATATACAGCTTTGGTAGTCCATAGAGCGTCGCTATTTCGCGCACGAAAACGAGGGTTGGTGGATGCTAGTGGTCGGGTGAAATTCAGCAGACGCCATTTGTATTAATGAAGTCTCCAACAATGGTACACGCTCGATGAATTATGTACCTATGATCGTGCTGAACCAAACATCGGATTTGTAGAGGGGGATGAAGCTTGCGGGAGGTGAAGAGAAAATGTGAGAGCTTCCCTAGTAGGTGAAAAAAAGTGGGTCGTTGCTGTATTTTATTTCATAATAAAATGGATTTTTTTTCTGTTCTATTTTCTTTCTTCTACGTATTTTCCAAAACATAATTCCTGTTTATATGAATATGATGATCATGATGATGATGCCTGTAAGAAAGTTACGTGACTTTCAAGCATATAAAAAAATATAACTCACCCTCATATGTAAATATATGTTGATGAAATTCGAATAATACAACTCATCAAGTAAAATACTATCCAACTAAAAAGCGCACAAGTTTAAAATACCGCTGCGTAAGCGCAACCCATTATCCGGAAGACGTAGCATGCATCCATCTCTTCGTGGCATGGATAAAACGACCGCTTTAGTTTGGATTACACGAACGCAATTTACAGCAGACACAGAAGCACCTGTTCGTTCTTAAGAAGTAAGAGGAAGCGAGTGAGAGAAAGAAAATGATGAGGTAAAGAGATGCACGGAAGAGAGGGTGCGGCAAATAAGGCTGATAGAGGGGCGAGTCACTCTCTCACGATGCTGAAGAGAAAGAGGATGAGATGGCGTGCTCCACCGCCGTTGTGGTAATTGAATCTCAGTGAGTCCCTATAAGAGTATACATCTTGTAAATGTATTGTCAGGTTTCGTGAGAATGTACTGGTACGAGTGAAAAATATCTAGAGGGATTCTAGTCTCTATTCAATAGTCTTTGCTATTTTTTTTAATTTCTGTGTCATTGTTTCTTTTTTATTTTATTCTTTCTATAATAATTAAGTAAAAATAAACTTTGCTAATAAATTCTATAAATCAACTGATAGTTAATTAATGGAAAGAATGATTCAATAACATTTGGACTTGGAAATGATTTTTTAAAATCTAATAAATTTTTTTGGAAAGCATTTAAAGAAATGTAGTCATCAATTTGAATTTAATTTACTTAGTAATCATTACTATGTGATTTTTAGAGTCTGTTATAACATATAGGGTGATAAATGTCACGTATATGCTAAATGTTACGCATGTTTGATGGCCATTATTTCATCAGAAGTAATTAATAGATCAATTTAATTTACTCTCATAATCAATCTTACATCTTAGCGAGAAAAAATTCTTGGCTCTTATCGAACTTGGTGGCGGAAACGATATAACATGAATCACAGAAGTAGTCGTGGATTCTATACAAACACCTCGTCCACGATTTTACATATTCCAAGGCAATAAATGGCAATCTTCCATCTTGCTGGGGCGAGATAAATACGCGTATCAGAATATATTTCTGTATTCATGCTGTCGTAAAGCAGGACGATTTAAGAGACGCTAAGGCCCGCCTCGGGAGATGCTTTTGGCAGAGATTTTTCTAAAAAAAAAGAAAGAGTAAGTTCAAGAGGATCGTCATTTCCTTCCTTTCTTTTTTCTATTTATGAAGAACTTCGTCAGCTACTTTGCATCTTGAAATATTTTTTACATAATGCCCAATGTCATCATTTACACTCCATTTACCCCAAAATTGTCAAAATTTACCCAATCAGTAGCTGGAAAAAGATAATTCCGATGAAAGAGGGTTCGATGGTGATTTTTCAAAAATATTTTAAGTATTTTTTCTTTCAAAGAAAGATTAAAAGAGAAAGAGAGGACCTGATGGCCTTTCTACCCTCACGTAATTACTCTAGTTGAAGGGTAGAATTTGCACGTGGTTGTTCTTTGGCATTTCAAACCCCTTTTCGTGCTCAGAAGATTTCGTGCGTGTGAGAGAACTCGTCGACACTTCTCCTCACTACTTCTTCGCCATATATCTGCGTAAACTAAGCTCTACAAATACAACCACCAACGATATACGAAGGATAGGAACGAGGGTTCCTCTGCGTGGCTGTTTTGCATTAGCAGGAGAGAGAAAAGGTAACTGGAGAAAGAGATAAAACGATGAGGGAGGTTATTAGGCAACACAGCAGCTCATCCTTCATCCGCGTAACCACGCCACAGCGTGTATTATGTAACAACACGGAAACGAACCATGCAGGGGTGGATGCAGTCTAGATGAGCCTTCGTTCTCTACTCCATCCCTTCTCTCTCTCCTTCATCTGTTTGCAACGGTTATACGTGAGATCGTTTTGCTTCTCTGGGTATTAATAAAAATAATGAGGCTAAATTATCTCTCAGATAATTAATTATCCATTTCTCTTTCATCTATTTTTATCGCTGAAATTGGAGTACTGCTTGTTGTGCTCATTTGTCGCTGTAATAATCAAGAATTCTTGCTTTATGTCAAGCGCACTTTTATTCTCCTTTGCCTTTCGTTATTCTCATTTTTCTCTTTCTTTTTTCTCCAACCTTGTTATTTTTTCGATTGGGTTACTTGCTAATTTTAACTCCAGTTCCTTGAGACCATAAAAATGTCGAGTTTCACTGTGTCGTGAAACTCGTATGTTTGTGCTCTCAAATAACACGGCATAGCTGCACTCGAGTTTTGTTTTCATGTCGTAATGCTCGACGGGTAAATACAATCTTGACAAGGATAATATTCCTAAGCGTTACCCAGCTATAGAGCATGCTTTGATCCGTTCTTATTCAAACACTTGAGTTTTCAATAGTTTTCTCGAGAATAATTCGTTCTGCGAGTTGAAAGCTTTTGCAATTTCGCAGAAACTCACTCTCTAAAATATATACGAGAAAATAACAAGTATTTTTAAATGCAAAAATAATGGTTTACAACAGCACTACAATAACAAAATTCATAATAATCATTTTATTAATAATGACATGTTTTCAAAACGACGCAAAAATTGTTATCTTTTTGATTTACCTGTTGGCTTGTTTAGAAAATAAAAAATTAAAGAATTTAATTATTTGTACATTTTTAATGTGGCAATTAATACCTTCTGACTAGTTTTAAGTTGGTTTTGGAGATTAACTCGTGACTGTAGTCATAGTTTGAAATAATATGCAAATAGATTCGAAATTTAAAAATTCCATAAGGCAGTAATTTACAGTATTAAAATATAACGTAATAATATAAATAGCTCTAACTCTATAATCTTTTATCAGTATCATAAATTCTTCATTTATTTCTTACGTTGACATCATAAATAAGATCTGATAAAAATTTTTAATTTATTTTTTGTTTAATCACGTTCTTCTGCTTACATACATTTATTTATGATTGTCATTTTATATTTATTAGACTGTTTTAGCATTGACAATTAATTTGGCAACACCATATAGAAATTTTTGCATTAATTTGACTAATCCTTTTTCAAAACATTGGGGAAGAAGAATGAGAAATTTAAAGGCAGCAAAAAAAATAGTTAGAAATTT